TTCTCAGAGTCAGCATGTTTTGATGCTTAGCTTTAGGACGATTTAGCATAGTATTTCATATTATTTTTCCATAGTATTTGTGTGTATCTACCATGTCTATTCATTCATTGCTTGGCACTTGGGTATTTCTCTTGGCTATTGTAAAGTTGCAATGAAAGTATGCATGTATGTTTGCCTCTCAGCTCTTATTTCTTTAGAATATGTACCCAGCAGTGGAATTGCTGGATCAAATGATACTTCCAGTCTCAACTTTTCAAGGAAACATCAACCTACTCTCCATAGCGGTTGCACCATTTTACATGCCCCAGCAGTGTATGAGTGCTCCAATCTCTCCTCGCCAGCATTTATTGTTTTGTGTCTTACTGAACACTGATACTGTTGCAGAGTAAAGCATCACTCCAGTCTCAACTTCTGTCTTTTAAGTGTCTCTGGATCCTCTCAGAATGACACATTACTAGATTTAGGGTCAATTACATAGGATTGCTGAATCAGAATTGACTTGGTCGTTGAGTGAAACTACATTTACAAAGATTCATAGTCTTCACAATTACTTGCTATGCATCAGAGAGCTGGATAATAACTAAGGATGACAGTAGAAGAATTGATGCCTTTGACATGTCGTGCTGGAGAAGTGTCTTGAACACATCATGGACTTCTAAGAAAACAAATAGGTTTGTCTTGGAGAGGATGAAACCAAATTTCTCCTTGGAGGCTAGGATTTTGAAGCTCCAGCTCACATACTTTGGGCATGTGGCCAGGATGGATAGGTCTGTGGAGGGTATCATACTCAGAAAGGTGGAGGGACAGTACAGGAGAGGAAGACCCATGACAAGAGGGTTAATACAGTAATTAGGGTAATGGGTGTAGGTCTGTCAGTCAGTGAGACTGGCTCAGGACTGGGCAGACTTCAGAGCTTTTGTACATAGGGTCACTGTAAGTTGCAGGTGACTCAACATAACAATTTCCAAATAAGGTCATTTTTAGAGTGTTCATTTCCAGATTTGGGGTGAATGTGAACTTTGTTCATAGTAGCGATTGTCAGGATTGGGCAGTTTCTACTCACTGCTCAGAAAAGGTAGATAGAAGTCATAGTTGACTCAACAGCACTTAACAAGATCACTTAAGCCACAACAGATGCTTGCTGATTCTCCATGCCAGGTCTTGCAAGGTGAAGATCCTTAGCAGGGGACACTCTCAGAGTATGGAAACTAAAGCTCAGGGTCACAGGGCCTCCAAGTTAACTTGTCTAACAAATATTGACTGAGCTCTGGTATGTGTCAGCATAGAATATATGTTCTACCTGTGAGAAATGTTTAACACAAATATAAATCTAAGCAATCTAAGACAACTTAGAAGAAAACACAAAAGAGAAAAGAAAATATCCAGAAAAATCAATGTAATGAACAAAGAACTGTCCTGAATTTAAAAAGACAAAATAGAAGCAAGAAACATAAACTCTGACTAGATCGAAAAAGTTATAAACATTTTAGGATAACTGGGAAATTGCCATATAATTAATGTTATGGAATTAATCATTTTTCCAAAATGCAAGCCTGAAATATTTAAAATGCTTATTTATGTCTGCAACTTACTGGTACAGGTTAGGGGGAAATATGCGCATAAAGAATACTGAAAAATGAATGGTTGGCTAGCTGGAGCAGTGATGACAAAGCGCTGGGCAAATATGGCCAACTTGGAAAAACTAATCAGGATGTCCACTTCACTTTCTAAGCCTTTTCAGAGGTTTGAACACCTCTGAAAGAAAAAGTAGGAAGAAATCATCACATCAGTTTTGACAAGGATTGAGAAGCTATGCCTGAGGTGGCCTGGTGTAGGTTACATGCTGGTAGCAAACAAGGGGTCAGTCTGGTCTAGATTAGATGCTGAAGGCAGGGAGAAATGTTCACCTCCAGATATGGAAGTTAGCCTATGTGGCCAGGGCACAGGCAGCAGGGAGCCTGGAAGGAAAAGCTTTGGACTGTGTAGACATTTTGGCTTTACTGAACGGGAGATGGCATCAGTGCCACTTTTTGCAGTCATACCCTACCTTGGCGAGCTCTTGCTCTATTCCTGTGGGTGATCTGACCCAGCCAAGCCAGAGCCCAAGTTCTGACTTGGAACCAGAAAGAATGGGGCAACACCACACTTGCAGCTAGGACATATGATCAGATGTTTGGTGGTCTCAGATACACAAGAGTACAGTTGAATTCAATGTCTGTGCATCTCACTGATATAATTTAAAGAAAACAAATTAAGCAAATAATCTCCAATCCAAGAATAAATTAAGAGCAATAATTAAAAATGTTCATCAGTCCCAAGGTCAATGAAATGCTTCCTTGGTCATGTGAACAACTTCAGTTGTTAGACGTTGATCGAGGCCAACCGAACTGATCACCAATCAGCAAGGCCGGGTAGGCTGTACCTGTCATTCCAGGATGGGATGCCACCCAGAGGCAGTGGACAGAGTCTAGGGGGCAAGGGTGAGAGATGTCTGTGTATAGAGCACAGGGGTGAATGCTGGGCAGTTTGAACTCAGCAGACTCTGAGGAAGATGTATGAGGTGTTCCTGTTAAGATTTTTATAAACTTGGACTCATTGCCATCAAATCAGAAGGGACTGAGTGGACTCGGGCTCCGGAGGTTTTAAGTGCCACAGATTGCCCCGCGTACCATTTCTGGGTTAGGCAGCATAAAGTTTTCCCTCGTAAAGATCTACAGCCTTGAAAATCTGCTGCAGGTCACTCGGAGTGAGGATTCAGCAGTGCTGGGAGGGTTCGTACTGAGGGAAAGCTGGTTTGTCTATAGTAAGCCCAAGTTATACAGGGCTGGTGATGGGAGTGACCAGGCACATACGCACCAGAAGGGCTGCAGTGAAGGCCAGGGATGCTTGCACTTGAGCTTTGTGAACTTAGTCTCAGTGTGTGACCTTCTGTGCTTTGTTGGGTTTTGGTTTCCCCCTCCTTTTCTTGCTGTGTACTGTCAAATCAGATTCGACTGGCAGATTGCCCCTCCTTCTCCAGCAGAGCATCTGCTGGATTCGAACTGTTTGCCTTCAATAATGCAGCACAGCTTCTTGCCACTAGGCCACCAGAGCTCCTATAGTGCATGACCTTCTGACTAGCTTCATATTCTGCCTGCTTAGGGACTCATGGTGGCTCACAGTTATCTCTCAGCCATCTACCTACTCTTCGTTTCCAGTGTTTTGCTTGTCCGTGTCTCCAGATTACTCAATTCCATTTAGCAGCAGACTTGAGCTGCTTCCTGAGCAGAATGCCGCCTTGCCCCACTCGGCCAGCCTGGGGTCTGCTCTCTTGGCACTGGCAGACTGTCTAGCACATATCCTTCTGCCCCACCATCACTGCCCCCAGCTCAGGAGGATGGCGTTCCCTTAACAAGGATCCACTTTCTACAGGTTTGCTGTTGTGTACCGTCGAGTTGGAACTGATCCATAGCTGGCCCTCCAAGAACGGGTTTTCAAAGGCAGTAAATTACACAGATTATTACTCATCTTTCTCCCATGAAGCAGCTGTTGGATTCGATCTGTGCACCTTTGTTTTGGCAGTGCAGCTCCTTACCACTAAGACACCTAAGTTCCCTAATTACTGAATCATAATTTATCAAGAGTTTCTCATTGCTGACAACACAGGACTGTTTAAGTAGTAGTTTTTTGTTGGCCATAGCTCTTGCACACTTCTGTGTCATCCCTTTCTCAGTGACACTGTGCTAATCCCTCACTCATGTATATTGTGCTTCCCTTCTTAGTATGTGTCTTCTACCTATTTAGGGAGAGGTGGTGGTGAAGTCCAGAACTCACCAACTGCTCCTTGGGAGAAAGGTGGGCATCTCCTCTTGTATTGATTTCCAGATTGGTACATGTCCTGCCTACTGCCGAAGGCTTTGGGCAGCAGGTGCAGAGACCATAAGGCTCTGTGAGCTGGCAGAGTGGGCCAAGCAGGCAGATGGCTGCCCACAGACCCAGGGAAAGCATTCTTCCTGTTCCCTGGCTCAGCACATTATGAAGAAAACTCCCCAGCAGAGCTAGCTTGGAAAATTCCAGGAAAAAGGCAATCTACCACGCGGGTGGAAACAGCTGGATCTGGGCTGTGATGTCAGAGGTAAGCAGCTCCTGAGACACTCCAGAGTCCCTCTGCTGGGGCCAAAGGTACAACCCTGCAAGGAACAGAGAGACTAAGGCCCAAACAAGGGAGGCCTTTAATAGAGGTCCAGACAGAGAGACACAATGGCGCCTGGCCCACACACAGGTTCATGGGCCCCAAGTCAGTAAGATGCAATGGCTTCTCCCTCCTCACCCTGGGTTCTAGCCCACAGGGCAGGTTCAGAAAAGGGAGTTTAAAAAACAGGACTGTACTAATTCTTCACTTCAAGGAAAAGAGGACTGAGAAGGAGAGCAGAGACTCCACCTCCCACCCATGGCTGGGGTTGGAGCTCTCCCAAAGCTGTCTGCACAACAAAGGGCTTTCAGGGGGCTATTCCTTTCTTTAGCCAGCTTTTCATTTTTCTATTGTTGTGCTTTGTAATGGGTTCCATTCTCCCTTCAGCCACTTGCCTGAAGCACAAGGTGGGGTAGTAGGGTTGGAACCAGTGTGGATGCAGGGAGCTGAGCCCTGAAGGCCAGTGTGCATGGCTCCAGGTAAGTCTTACGGTTTCTCATCTTCCCTGGGCTTCCAGAGGCCTCAGAGCAGGCCTAGGGGAGACAGGCTCTGCCAGGCAAGGGCAGTCACAAATACAGGGCAGTGCTGGAACAACACAGGGCAGGCAGGAGCAGGTAGGAGCAGGTAGATGTGGAAGGAGATATGCCAGGAGCCGCAACAAAACCATTTTTGAGTATGTGACTTGATGGAGGGGAGGGAGGGCCCAGCTGCCCTGCTGGCAGGTGCTGACTGTCCACAGGACCAGTTTCTTGGTCAGTCACACAGCTGTGTGTCTGAGGGGTGAAGCTGGTTGGAAGGCAACTCACTCATCTGCATGGGGCTACATGGGTCAATTATTCTCAAAGAGAGACAGGAGGTCATCATTGCTGTTTGTGGGCAGACCGGGTGGGCCCAGGTACGACAGCAGCTCATCAGGATTGGTCAGTTCTGGGAGCAGCTGGGAACAGAAAAGACAACATGAATACCTTTGCCAGCAAACCCTGCACCCACAGGGATCACTTCCACCCACCTTCCTAGTCCCTCAGCACCTCATGCCATGTGCAACATAGCAAATATTCTCCATGCCAGAAAGAAGTCTGGCTCAAGGCACACCCTCCTCGGCAGACATACACTTGGAGAGGACGTGCAGACACCAGGAGCCTCTGATAACTGACAAGAAAGTGAAGGTAAAAATACCACTAACAGAGGCCCACCAAGGGAAGCAAAGCTCTGCCACTCAGTGTGGAGGAGTGAGGACATGGTCTGAACCCACTGCTGTGTACATAAGCATGGAGGAGAGAGCCCACTGCTGCACACACAGCATCGAGGAGTGAGGACACTGTCTGAACCCACTGCTATGCACACAGCATGGAGTAGTGAGGAAGGTGAGCCCACTGTTGTGCACACAGCATGGAGGAGTGAGGACGCTATCTGAACCCACTGTTGTGCACACAGCATGGAGAAGCAAGGATGCTGTCTGAGCCTACTGCTCCACAAAGAATGGATGAGTGAGGACATTGTCTTCACCCCTTGCTGTGCATACAGCATGGAGGAGTGAGGATGATGAACCCACTGCTGTGCAGTGTGGAGGAGTGAGGATGCTGTCTGAGCCCACTGCTCTACACAGAGTGGAGGAGTGAGGACACTGTCTGAGCCTACTGCTCTGCACACAGCATGGAAGAGAGAGGACGCTGAACCCACTGCTGTGCACAGCATAAAAGAATGCAGATGCTGAGGCCACTACTTTGCACACAACATGGAGGAGTGAGGACACTGAACCCACTGCTCTGCACACAGCATGGAAGAGCAAGGATATAGCCCACTGGCTGCCGGAGGCTTGTTAGGCTTCACTGAACTTTTGTCATGGCCATGGGATAATTCAATAAGTTTATCATTCTGAACATGGAGTTGAACACACTGTACACCACCTCTGTGTAATTAAAATTCTCACATCTGTTTGTTGTTGTTGTTGTGTATTGTCAAACTGGATCTGAATGGCACAGGAGGAAATTTCCCCTCCTCCAGCAGAGTATCTGGTGGATAAGAACCATGTGCTTTTCAGATTGCAGCACAGTTTCTTGCCATTAGGCCACCAGAGCTCCCTTCACATCTGTTTGAAGAAAGCGTTCACTCTCCTAGAAATCCCTGACAAACAATAGTCACATGCCTATGTGGCTGGTGCTGTGCCTAGTCCTTGAAGTGAGAAATTTATAGACAAGTCTTCACAGCACCCACCACCCCAGCCAGGGCATAGGCTACAAGTGCACAGCCATCTAACTGGCTTCCTGCTGACCATGCAGTGTCCATCTCTGCCTCCTTCAGAGAGCTAAGTGGCCTCAAGCGCTTGAAGTGGAGGATGCCCTCCCTGCCCTGGCTCTCCCAGCTCATTGCCACCATTCCTGTGCACCCTCAGTGGAGAGGACAAAGGAAGTCCAGTACTCACATCCAGAGCTGGCTCTGGGCCTTCTCCGGCTGCAGACATGCTGGTGGGCCCCAACACACTGGTGCTGGGGTTAAAGGCCAGCTCATTTCCAGGCCCTGTGCTTGCCTGGCCCAAAGGTGGCCGAGATGGGGGGGGAGGGTTCTGAGGGTGCAGCTGTGGCCGGGGGGGTGCCCCAAGGTTGGGATTGTGCAGCCCCTGTGGCCCAGAGCTGTGTGCCAGGTCCAGGTGGCCTGTTGAAGCCATCTGAGAAAGAAGAGAAATACTTAAGAGATCTGCCCAAGACTCCTCGGGATAGCACCTACTCCTTTTCTCAGCTGGGCCTGGAGCACTGACCTGGCCTGGGAGGCAGGAGGCAGACTTCTCTGGAGTCAGGAGGCTGGGAATGTCAGACTGGTAGGAGATGGGCTGTGGTCCTGGGGTGAACTCAGGAAGAGTTGGGGTGCTGCTTGGTGTGGTGGGTGGGAAGGAGTCAGGAAAACTCCCAGGTCCCAGGAAGCTGGAACCTGTAAGAAGACAGTCAAGGCTCCATCTGAGGGCCTAGCAGTCAGGTGTTCCCTTAACTTTGGAGGGACTTGGCTAGCAGAGCAGGAAGAGAATGCAGCCAGGGCAGGAGGCAGCTGCCCCACTAACACTACTAGGAACAGGGAAGTGGAGAGCTCCCAAGGAATCCTAGCCAGTCTTTGTACGCACCCACTTCAAGGCCACAGGGGTTCAGCCCCAAGTGTCACTACAATGTACATCACTCCAACCGGTGGAGCAGAGCCCAGAGGCAAGACCTGGGGGCCTGTGTCCAGAGGCCCAGCCTTCATTGCTATATTTTGTTTCCTGCAGGCAGCACTCATGGAAAGGACGTGGCTGAACATCACAGTCCCCTCCACTCAGGACTGCATTCTTACAGATAGAGACTACAGCTGAAGGCTGAGTGGGTCACTGGATAGTCACTGGATTGCAAAGGCCATACAGGGCCACACTAGGGTCCAGGGTCACCCTTGTTCCACTCACCCTGGCTGGGATAGTCACTGGGCACAGGGCCTGAGGCAGGCTGCAGGGGCCCACAAGGGGCAGCACTGGGGCCCAGTGCAGCGATCATCTCCATGACGCTGGGCATGAGCACATGGGCAGGGCTCACAGTCCGACAACGCTTCAGCGCTGGCCCGTCAGGCTCCTCCTTCAGGTGCAGGTCTGGCTTCACGGGCACTGGCTTCCAGCTGCAGGCAGGGTCGATGGTGATCTCTTCATAGTCAGAGCTGGTGGGGTGTCAGCTGTCAGCAGGGACCCTGTTGGCCACTGTACCTGCTCCAGGCAGGCGCCCCCAGCCAAAGGCCCAGCATAGCCGGGCTAGTCTATGCCTGGCAGGTAATGCATGCAGCCACTGGCCACGTGAACCCAGCCCCTTCCCTGGGAAAGCAGCCATAATGATGGTGTAAAGCCTGGAAGCCCCAGACACACACAGTCGGTTAGAGGAGAAAATTACTTCTGGATGTAGATAAGGATCCCCAGCATGTACTGGTCAACCTCCAGGCCCTCCAGCAGTGCTGTCTTACTGTGAAATAAGCACAAAAAATAGGCTCAGGGCTCCCATAACTCTTGCCTCCTGAGGGCACTGTAAAGCCTCACTATCCAGGACCAAGCAGTGAGCACTGCAGCCCCCAACCTGGGGAGCCTACAAGGGTGCTGGGACAGGATCACCACAGCAGCCTTGCATGATGTCGAGCCCTGTCCAGACCCAGGTTCCCACCACCTGGTACCATCTTTGAAACACCTACTTGCAGACAGGACACCTCCACGTGCCCCGCTCACAGTTGAGCTGTAGGTACGATTCCAGGTCGAAACACTGTAAGAGAGGCAGGTGAGGGCACTGTGGGAGGCCCACTCTTAGGCTACCACTCTGAGAACATGTTCTCAGGCTACCAAGCCTGAGAACATGGGCCAGGGTAAGGAATGGATATGATGGGTGGACCACTTGGCACATGCTCTGTCTCAGGAACTAATTACTTGCTTACATGCATATCAGGAGTGAAGATTTCCACCACAAGAACTTCATAAAGGCTGGAGATAGTGGTGGTGACATGGTGGTGGGCATTTGCTCTATAGGTTAAGGAAAAGGCTGGCATGGAGCCCCTCATGGACAAAGTGAACAAACAACTAAGGCACAGATGGGTGGAGTGACTGGTCCTATAAACTATCCAGGGTGGAAAAACAACTTCTTTGGGTACCCTTTACAACTCTGAATACAGTGACCTGTGAAAAGGTTAATTTAAAACAGGAGGCCAAACTGTCCCACTCTTCTTGTCACTTGGTGGACCCAGCTCTCCCAGGGCAGGGGTATCACACAAAAACATAAGACAAGGAGCTCAGAACCCCATTCGTCCCCAGAGAGGGGTGGCTGATGCATGAGTACAAATCACTCACCTGTATGTGCCTACAGTCATGCCCACGGGCAGGCAGCTGGATCCTGCGGAAGGTAATGGGGCACTTCAGGGACACTTTGATGGCTGTCTGCTCCACTCCATCTTCTCCGTTGGGCCCTGGGGTGCCTGGGATGGTGCCACTGCTAAAGTTGCGCTTTACTGACAGAGGGAGAAGGGTGTCAGGGAGCCTGTGATGACAGCTGAGTAGGCAAGCACCTGCTGCTCTCCCCCAGCGCCCAGGCTGCCCAGGAGCTGTCTGGGAAGCAGCTGCAAGCTCAGCACTCACTCTTAGTGACGCAGTGCTCGGCTGGTAGGAGGCGCTTCTTGATGAGGCCCTGCAGCACAGAGCGGACCGATGGGCGGTGCACCAGCTGCAGCACGAACAGGTGGGACTGAGGGAGGGATGGAGACAGTCAGGTGCATGCAGGCACTGGCCCTCCCAAGTCTAGATTACCCCAGGAGACTAAGTAATGATGCAAAAGCACATCCTTGTGTTTGCTCAGCCAGTTCCTCAGTCTCACTTCTCCATCCAGCTGGAGGCTAAAAGGATTCTCAACTGCCCAACAGCTTTCTGTACAGCCCACTGTGGCCAGGTGGGAATGCCCAAGGTCCACTCAACACCACTGAAGCTAAAACCTCATAGCCTTCCCTGGTGGCAGCAGCTCTCAGCAGCCAGTTTTTATCTCTCTGATGCTGATGCTGGCTGCAAACCCAGAGCTTGTGAAATTTGGGTAGTCCTCCCAAATAAGGGCTGAGAACCTTGGGTGACCCAGGACTCAAAGATGCAAGGCCCCACCAGGTCCGTCATATAACTGACTTGAACTGCAGGCTGAGTTACTCTAACTGGAAAGTATCTGTGCTATATTTAATCCTCTGCCTCTTTTAAAAAGGGTCAGCAAGAAAAATCAGAATGGTGGAATGCACAGTGCTCAGTGTCCTATCCTCTTATGGTCATGCCCACCACAGTGAGCCCCCAAAGTCTAGGCTGATACTCATACAGCAGTGAACCTTGAGGTCTGGGCCCTCACTTCCATCCCACCAAGCCCTGAGGTCTGGCCCATGCTCCCCCAATGGAGCCTCGAAGCCTGGTGCACACTCACACAGCAGCAGGCCGTGACGGTGATCTGGATGGTATTTCGGCCTGGCTGGCAGACATGCTTCAGGTAGAGGGGCTTATGGGAAGTCTTGTTGTCTCCACGCTCAATATTGAGTGGCGTGGCATTGACGCTGACCTGCACAGAGGCAGGCCAGTTGGTATTCATCTGCCGGTCCTCGTGGTGGTAGCACTTGAACTGTAGCTCAAGGTCAGGCCTATGTGAGAGGAGATAAGAGAGGAATGAGGAGCTGCAAACAGGAAAAAGGCAGGGGAAACAGGAGGTGGTGGGTATACAGGCATATAGTATGGGGAAGATGGACAGAGAGGCTGTATACTATGGGGAGAATGGACATAGAGGCTGTGTACCACGGAAAGGGCAGACTGTGTCCACGGGGATGGTGGGAGGCACCTCACCTCAGCATCAGGGTTTTACAGACGGAGTCACGCAGCTGGAAGACATGGTTGCTTACAGCCAGGTTGTGCTGCAGACGAAAGGGCTCCAGGACCACCCCGTCTCGTACTGGGAAGGTCAATCGCAGCTCATCACAGGGACCATTTCCTGAAGGCAGAGAGCCCCAGCTGGCTGTGAGTCAAGGAATCATGGGCATCCATAAGCAGAGCAGTGAGCACTGGGACCCTGGCTCGGCCCACTGAACCCTCAGCAGTGGCATGAATCAAGGCCACCCCTCAAACAAACGTGGGTTTGGGGCCACCCTGGGATGCGGAGACTATACTGGCAGTGTCCAGGCTCACCATGCCAGGTGCTGCTTGGAAGCAGCAAGCCAGCCCATGGGTTTCAATCTAGTCCAACAGTCATTTCCAACTGTAACAGAGCCCCTGCAGCTCCATGTTCGGTCCACTCTCAGTGGCCTAGTTTGAGTGTTCCCAATGGAGAACAGGCCTCAACCCCAAAATAGAGGCCATTTCTGGTGCTGACCTAGAGATAAGTAGATCCAGAAGGGCTAGCAACCTCTGCTCACCACCTGATCATTCCATCATGGTTTCAGGAACCAACTGCTGCTGTCAAGGTTATTCAGCAAATAGTTAACCAGGATGGCCCCCAGGGATTCACAGCCCCTAGCACACAAACATTCTGTGTGCATGTGGATGGATTATCTGTCTTGAGTGAAGACCAACACCCTCAGATACATTTGCTAAGAGGATCACGAATCAACATCTAATGTAGGGAAAGGGCTGCTTAGAAGGAAGGATGTTGTCAAGAAGCTGCACTGCAATCCCAGAGGTGCATGGTTTAAATCCACCAGATGCTCTGCTAGAGGAGGGGAAGCCTCCTCCTGTACAAGTCAGATCTGATTTGACAGTTGTTGTTATGTGCTGTCGAGTTGTTTGCGACTCATAGCGACCCTATGTATAACAGCCCTATCCTGTGCCAATAAAAAAAAAAAAAAAAAGAATGAAGGATGTTCAAGCTTCATCTCCTATACTTTGGGCATGTTGCTAGTAGAGGATATTCCTTGCATGGAACATCAGTGGAGGACTGGCAAGGAGAGAAAGGCTCTCAACAGCATAGTCAATGGCAGTGGGCTCAAGTATGTCAGAGAAGATGAGGACAGGATAGGACAGGATTCAGAACTGTTGTTCACAGGGTCCCTTTGAGTTAAACTAAATAAACTCAACGGCACCTAACAACAAAGGCTGTTAAGGGGCTTTGGGTAGGGTAATCTCCCTAAAAAACTTCCTCATACATACCTCCCAAGGCATCTGCAGAATTTCCTCCACTACCCCTCCTAAGACACCTATATGACTTCCTCCATACGTCCTAGGACCCCTCCAGGACTTCCTAGCCATCGCTCCTAGGATGCCTCCACAACTTCTTCCTCATCCCTCCTAGGACCCCTCCAGGACTTCCTCTTCCACCTCTCCTCCCACCAATCCTAATTCTCTGCCCATCACTATTGCTTTTAGAAGTCACTCACCAGAAGGGGAAGAGTGTAAGGAGCTCACATTAGGCTTGAGGTCAGGCAGGTAGGGAGACTTAACATCCTGGCTTGGAGACATGTAGGGGACAGTGCTGCTGGGGGTAATGGGAGGTGTGGGGTTCCCCGGCAATGGGGAGCTGGGATAGCCAGTTATGGACCTTGTAGGCTGCAAGCAATGAGCAAAACCAATCAGTGGAGAAGGAGAGCTGGAAGCAGTCAGCATAGATAGATATATCTGGCTGTATCCATGCTGCATCAAAAGCCAACTGAGTTGCAGAGGGCCTGGGGCACCCCCCGCACACATCCCTGCTCTTCCTCCACCCCCACTTATCTCCTTTCACCCCTTCTCCCTATGCCTTCTTGGGCTCATTACCCATCCTTTTGTCTTCCCAAACACCACTCAAGTTCATCACTTGCCCCTGCATCCCCGCTCCCACCCTGCTTAGGCTCAGTATCCACCCCTGTGCCCCCCACTCCACTCTGGCTCCGCACATGACCCTGAGCCCCCCATCCCTACACCAGACCCCCATTAACCGCTCATCCAGCTTGCCTGGCTGTAGCTGTAGCTCCCCCCATTGAAGCCGGTGTTCTGTCCATTGAACTGGTCTGTGGACTGCCAGAGAGAGTGGAGCATGCAGACTACAACTGATGGCCACCTCCTCCCCCTTAGCCACAATGACTCTGACCTAGGTATGGTCTACCTTCAAAGGAACCCTAATCTTTACATTTCTCATTAAATTATATTCCATAAGAAGAGTTCATCATTCCATAATGATAATTATAATAATAACAACTAAGTACATTATTTTGAAAAAAGAACCAAACAACCCAAATAACAGAGGAGCTCCTAGGGTGAAAAGAAAGTGACAAAGGAGTTAAAAAGATACAAGTGGGCACTTTCTTCCCAGGGCTGAGGCTTCTGGCACCCAGAAACAATAGTGTGGGGGGCACTAGGACCTGCTGATGGGGCAATGCAATGACCTAGTATTACACAGACATGAGGGCTAACCTCAGGGCCCTGAAAGAGGCCTGACAGAGGTGCTGTTACTCATCAGCCACACAAAGAGGTCTGTTACCTGGAGCACGCCTGGCTGCCTGCCCACCCCCCCAGTTTCCATACCATCAAGGTCATTCGGCTCCAACCCAAGCCCACCCTGAGAGGTGCCCAGTCCCCGTGTCAGGACCACTTGACAGTTCCTAGCTGTTTCCTGCTCGAATGTGTACATGCCACCCCCTCAGCTGGCTGGGGATGCTTTCAGTCACCCCTGTGTCCTAGCTGTGGGACCCTACCTTGTAGTGCAGTGCCGTGGGACCAGGGCCAGATAAGTACTGCCCCATGGCCTGCTGCAAGGGCATCCTGTGCCCAGGATAAGAGGGAGACGGTGTAGGGTGCTGCCCAGGGCTGGGAGCAAACTGGGCAGTGCTGGGTGCATACTGTCCTCCTTGCAGATACTGCTGCCCTGGATATACCTAAGAAAAGACAAGCAGACAGGTGGTAGGGGAAGAGAATAGATGTCCATCAAAAGTAAGCTGGTTTTGGAACAGCAGTGTGTGCACTGAACCAGGGCTCAGGTGCTGGAAGCTCAAAAGCATCAGGCCTGGCATCTGGCCACCGGGAGTGGGGAATCTGCTCCAGAGCCCATTCTCTGCCACACAGGGAAGCCCTGCCAGACTGAGGGAGGTGCTGGGGCCTCCCTGGCTACCACCTCATACTCACCTCGCTAGAGTAGACTCTTTTGACCCCATGTCGGGGCAGCGGCTGGGCCTGGGAAGGCCCGGGGTGTGTGTGCTGGGGCAGGCGCTGCCCTCCATACAGGGCTGTCACCCCCACTGCTCGGCTCTGATTCAAGCCCAGGTGGGAGAGGCCGGAGGGGCCCATCACCCCCCCCATGCTGGGAGGGCTCATGCCGGGGGGCACACTGGGCCCTCGGGGACCACCGTGCTGCAGAAACTGGTTGTTAAAAGACTGTCCAGCCCCCATCTAGGAAGAGAAGAGAGAGGACTGTCCCAGACCCCTGGGCCTCTGCTGGGATGGGGCCATGCTCTCACCAGACTGTCTCATGGCAAGGTCCCAACTGCACCCTCCCCAATCCGAGCCTACCCCATCCACCACACTGCCCACTGGCCACAGGTCACTGTGTTCACATGTCAGTCCCTGTAGACATCATGAAGGCATGGCCCTCAAGCTGGGCTCTATGGTGCCAGGGATCCCTTGCTTGAGGTAGGCCCTTCTCTGAGCGGCCAGGGGGTGTCTCACCGCTCCATACTGGCTTAGTTCTTGGGTCTGCTTCTCCTGGAGGGCAGCCACTGTGGCTGTGGCCGTGGCTGTGGCGGTGGCTGCCGCGGCAGCTACAGCAGCAGCGGCGGCGGCCTGAGTGAAGTCGGTGGAGGGTCGAGTTACATGGGAAGGGAGGCCCAGGGCCCCGGGGCCACTCGGGCCACCCGCATACCTGCAGGAGAAAAGGCCCACCAGCTCTCTGCCAAAGCGTACAAGGGAAGGGTGAAAGGCCTCAATCCTTCCTAAGGCCCCTTTGCTGTCTGTTCCTACAGCAGCCAGCAAGTCAGCACGAGTTTCCAGGCCCCCAACAGGTGCAAGCACTGCCCCTAGAAGGCCCCGAATGTGCCAGACGAGAGCCCCACGTACCCAGTGGTGAAGCCCGACCCTCCGGGGTAGCCCCCACGGCCATATAGCCCTGGCTGCACGTAGCCCTTGTTGGCGCCACCCTCTGCAAATGCTTGCTGCCCAAGGAACTGCGGTGAGTTGAGCGCAGAGCTGCCGCCTGCCATGCCAGGCATCACGGAGCTGCTGGAAGGGTTCCCTCCAGGGCCCATAGCGCTTCCCAAGACCTGTGAGTAAGTGAGACACTCATGCTGTAGTGGGCCAATGGGAGCCATCCAAAGTGCTCAGAGTGGTAGTGCGAAGGGGCAGGAGAGGAAGGGGTCAGGGAGAGAAGTGGGGCAAGGGGATGGTCTACACCAGGCCAAGGCTGGGGAACCAGTCTCCTGAAACCTCTCAGTCCAGCTTCACCCCAGCCCATCCCTGAGAGACAGGTTGCACCTAGGCACAGGCATCTGGAGGCTATGCTTACCTGACTCTGGGACGTATTGGTAACTCCCCACACAGTTGTCACCACAGACAGCGACCCTGTGGGCTGGCTGGCACTTTGCTGCCAAGGCACAGACTCATAGGTGAATGAACCATCACTGCAAGAAGGAAAGCAGGTGAGGCCTCACGTTCTAGTGACAGAACACCCCCCCCCGGGTGCTAAATCTGCTCTCCATGTGCAGCTGGGAGCCTGAACTCACCTGGGAGTTACAGGGGGGAGGGTGGATTTCATGGGGTTCATGGGCCACAGAGTAGCCCCAAGGCCTGGCCTGCCGTAGGCCGTAGCTGCCCTTGATGGTGCTTATCTGGGACCCGGCTGCTCTGGCTGTTGAGGTTAAAAGGAAGGACTATTAGCCAGGGATGCAACACTAGCCATGAATGCTGCTGTGCCACCTACCAACCCGCCTCTTCGGGGGGAGCCACTCCAGAACTGAGACTGTTTAGTATAGGTGAAGGCAAATGCCAGGCAAAGCCCCTTCCCTGCAGGAGTCACAGCACACTGGGCCCCAGGGCACTGCTCAGGGTTACCTTTGGCTCTGGAACCTGAGATCCTTCTGGTCTTTTACCTGGCAAACCTAGTCCTAAAGCAAGCGTTAGCCCTTCCTGGGTCAGGCCTTGCCAACTCGTGTTCCCAGAATAGTTATTCTGATTCTGACTCTTCTCCCACACAAAGGCCTTCCCACTGGCTCACTTGATATGCATACAAAACAAGGGAAAATCCTAACCTAGCTCAGCAGAATCTAAAACAGGAGGGATAGGACTGGATATTTATCTCTAAAATGTATATAAAACTCCAACATCTCAACAGGAAGACAAGTGAATTACAAAATAGGCAGAGGACAAGAAAAGACACTTCACTAAAGAAGGCATTCACATGGCCAACACAGCCATCAAAAAATGCTCACCATTATCTATCTATGAGAGAGAAGTAAAACAATGGGATCTCATACCATCACAGCAACAAACAGCTGTCTTCAGTAAGATGGCAAGCAACAATTCTGGTGAGGGGTGGAAGACTGCAACTTTCATTTACTGCTGGTAAGACTGTAAAATGGTACAACTACAGAAAGCAGTTTGGTGCTTCCTTTAAAAACTGGAAATAGAAATACCATTTGAGCCAGCAACCCCACACTGTTATTGTTATGTGCTGTGAAGTTACCTGCAACTCATAGCAACCCCATGTACAATAGGTCTGAAGCCTGCCCTGTCCTGAGCCAGTCTCACTGATTCTGATACACCTACCCCTTCTGCCCTAGTTACTGTATCAATCCGTCTCATCTGGGGTCTTCCTCTCCTGCACTGTCTCCTACCCTTCTGAGAACGATGTCCTTCTCCAAGTATCAGTCCCTCCTGGCCACATGACCAAAGTATGTGAGATGGCACTTCAAAATCCTAGCCTCCAAGGAGAAACTCCGTTTCCCCTTCTCCAAGACAGACCTATTTATTTTCTTGGCAGTCCATGGTATGTTCAAGACTTTTCTCCAGCACCACAACTCAAAGGCATCAAATCTTCTTGTGTCTTCCTTTGTCATTGTCCAGCTTTCTGATACATATAGCAAGTAAGTGCAAAGACCATGGCCTGGATCAGGTACATCTTCATCTCTAGACTAACATCACTGCATTTCAGTACTCTTAAGAGGTCCCTGACTGTAGATTTTCCCAGTGCAATCAGACTTTTGATTTCCTGATTCCTGGTACCAGAGTGCTGACTGTGGAGCTGAGCAAGTTGTAACTGTTAACAACTTCAATCTTTTCTCCATGCATCATGGTGCTGCCAACCAACTGGCCCAGTGGTGAGAATCTCGTCTTCTTGATGTTGAGTTTCAATCCATATTGAAGACTACAGTCCTTGACCTTCTGCAGCAAGTGCTTTAGATCCTCCTCAGTTTCAGCAAACCAGGTTGTGTCACCTGCAAAACCTAAGTTGTTAACGAGTCTTACTCCAATCCTGATGCCACATTCCTCCTCATAAAGCCCAGCCTCCTAAATTATCTGTTCTGTGTACAGCTTGAAAAGGTATGGAGACAGGATGCATCAGGATACGAACAGATACATGCACACTCAAGTGCACTGTAGCATCATTTACATCATAGATGTCCAACAGGGACAAACGAACAAGAAATAGCGGTATATTTGCACAGCAATTAAATTACTATGTAAGTAATCCTGAGAAACAACAAAGAATTTCATAAACACTGTACTCCACAGATGAATCTAGAGACACTACACTGAGTCAAGAAAGTCCATTACAAAAGGACAAAACTAATGAAGCTCTGGTAGTCTAGTGGCAAAGAAGCTGCACTGAAATCCTGAAAGCATGCGGTTCAAATCCACCAGAGCCTTTGTTGAAGAAAGGGCAATCTCCCGTGTAGTTGGATCCAATTTGATGGTACAACAAAATTTAAAAAAACAAACAAAAGAATAAGACTACTTTTATGAAAACTAAACAAAGGTACTTACACACGAAGAATCATTGTTGGATGGTTACCAGGGATGGCAAGGGACAGGGGAATTGAGAATTAGTAATAGACACGTATTAAGATGAGTGAAAAGAAAGGAATAAATAATAAGGGGATGATAAATAAAAGATCACTAAAGAAAGGCAAAGTGTGGAAAAATGAATGGAAATCAGTTATAGAGAGGAAATGACGACAGTTGTTATGTTGTGTGTACTGAACGCAGCGTGACAGGGAAACTATACAAATTAAAAATTAATTTGTTTTGTAAACCTTCACTCAAATCACAATAGAAAAATATTTTTAAACAACAGAATCAGGGTCCTCCCCACTCCAATGTTATCCTTTCTTAAGGTGACCCCTTCCTCTCTCTCTCTTTTAGAATAAATTTATTTTGCTTTCACATAAAACAAACATACCTGAACTTCCCTAAGATAGCCCAGGGCAGAGGCTGGCTGAGGGAGGAGTCATCCTGGCCTCTGGGTGGGATCTAATCCAGGTAGGGAAGATCTCAAACTGATTCTGGAGGCTAGGTGGCTAGTCAAGAGGGGATGCAAGGCAGAGGCCAGCAGCCCTGGACACTCTCCCTATGCTGTCTTTCCCCATGCAGTAGCAACCTGCACACAGCCAAGGTCTAGTGAACTGTAGTGCCTCCCCGAGATGGCCAGAAGAAGCTACAAATGACCACAAGGTAAGAACCCACATAAGTCCAGGGTAAGGGCTCGCAGAAGCCCAGAAACCACACACAGGCCAGGGGTAAGGGCTCGCAGAAGCCTGAGAACCACACACATGCCAGGGGTAAGGGTTCACAGAAGCCCAGGAGTCATATACTGTCCCAGGGTAAGGGCTCACAGAAGCCCGGGAACCACACACAGGCACAGGATAAGGGCTCACAGAAGCCTGGGCAGCACTGTCAGGCACTCACAGGATGCAGATTCCCCAGACACACAGGACAGGGGACAGCAGAGACCTGTAGCTCTGGTGGTAGCTAGCACAGTGTAGAGGACCCATGTAGCAACCCTAGCTCTCCCACAATAGCAGTGAAGAGGGGCTTTCTCACTATTTCAAGGGTGATAAGATGCAGCACTACCAGGCAAGAGCCCACCCAGGACTGCCTGCTAGGTAGGGTTCAGTCCGTTGGGTGCCCACACCTCCCACTGCCCCAAGCAGACCCTCTGCTCTCTGTCAAGGTATTGCCCTATCACCAGCTGGTGCTGCCTTCACAGGCACTGCTCATGCCTTCACTCAACCCAGGACCACATTTGGGCAAGAGCCTCTCATCTATGCTTGGTCCAACTAGGGCCAAGGTTCCAGCGCTGCCTTTTTGCCCCCATCCAGCCACGTAAATAGCCACGGTTGTGAGGGATAGCGGTGAAAGGGAGGTGGAGCCAGCCCCAAGAATCCAAGAGTCAATGGCTGGCCAGTTTCACACATCTCTTACCAGCTTCCTGCTCTGTAAAGTCCAGAGAGCCAGGGTCGTCCCAGAGCACTCCCAGATGGCCAGGCCCACTCAGTCCCCTCACCTTGGCCAGCCCAGCCAAGCCTCCTGGGTAGAGACAAGGAGGGAAATGACAAAGGGAGCCAGACAACAACGGACAGCACAAGGAGGGAGGAGCAGGCAAAGCCATTTACACAAAGTACACCAAAAAAAGCAAGGGCCCTCCTCAGGGGGGCCAGGTGCTTACCATCAGAGGGGACTCCTGGTCCACTTGCCTCTTCCTGCCCACATCCCACCTGGGAAGCAAAAGAGAGGCAGAGGCTGCCAGCTGGAAAGGTTTCAGGGGCTTGGTGGCATAGAAACAGGCCCCTCTGTCTAGGTTGCTGGGGTACTAGCAGGCAAGAGAAGGCTTCAGGATAGTGGCACTCAGGATCAGGTGAACCCTGCCAGTGACAGAAACTCCTCTCAGACCTGCTCAGTCAGGCCTCTATCAACAGTGCAGGACTTCAAGAGATATTATGTAGCTGACACGGTATCTGTTAACTACAGTTACTACTGACAGAATGATCAAAACACTGTGGCATGAAACAGATACAGAGATATGTATAAGAGAACTAAGAACCCAGCTCTACACTCAAACTTCCCAATCGATTTTGACAAAGGTATAAAAGCAAATTAATGAAGGAAGAGTAACCTTTTCAATGAACGGGGCTGGAACAACTGGACACTCATAATCAAAATAAAGAAAGTGGATTTAAATGTTATACCTTACATGGAAATAAATCAGAACAGATCAAAGAAATGGGAAATGCAAAGCTGTACAACTTCAGAAAAGTGCAGAGGAGAAATATTTCCAGAAAAGGGACTAGTCAAAGAGTCCTACAGTTAATACCAAAAGCATGATCCATTAAATAAAAACCTGACAAACTGGACTTCATCAACACTGAAAATTTGCTCTATGAGAGACTATTAACAGACAATGAAAACATAAGCTGCAGATGGGAGGAGAAGGTTTGCAAAGCACATGTCTAAAAATGGCCAGTAACTCAAATATATTAAGAACTCTGAGAACTATTATATTTTTTATTTTTTAAATGGTTTTTTATTAATGATTTTTAATGCAACATATATTTTTATAGCATATTCTTTCAATTTAATTTCTCCCCATTCATTCACTGTTGCACATTTTCCTCCCTTCCCACCTTTCCCCCCAGTTAATTTTTCTCTTTGATGAAAAAAAAAATTCTTTCATTGTTATACAATCTCCTCCACCCAAATCCACAGCCCACTTTACTATGCATTTCTTTTTCTCTAATCTTCTCATGAAAATAATACCCAATCCTATAT